TCCCCCCCCCCCCCCCCCTTGCAATCCAAGGGCTTATCATAGTCAATATTTCAGTAGCCAAGCACACACAGCACTGAAAAGCAGCCTATAAAAATCAAAAAGCTCAATGTTTTATTGTAAACTTGTACCAGAAGATCTGGACATTTGGTGGCACTCTTGTTCCATGAAATTTTTAAAGTGTTTTCATTAATGATCTGATGTTGAGAAATGCAGAATACCTGCAGCTTCTCTGTCCCCAATTAACTTCATCTAGAATTATAGGTTCTCAGCCCTTCTGAAAATCAGATCCTCAGGCATTTGGAATGTGTAAGCTTAGTTGTTTATATTTTTTATCAGTTTGACACTTAGACTCTTAAAAATCCTACAACTCTATGGAGGAAGTTACCATTAGTCAAGCTAGAAACTGGTAGGTCAATAAGCATCCTATGCTTCTGTAGACAGAAGGGCTTAAGCAGAACAGTTTTGATTTCCAGTACTCTATACTGTATCGCAAGGATAGAAGCTTTAAGAAACACAAACTATTTCAAATTCTTACCAACATTAAAAAAGGTTAAAAACCAATCCTCTAACTACCAAGATTGTTTTTCAGGAAAAATTTAATTAAACTAGCTCCATAGTGATCCAGCCAAAAGTAAGTGAAAGGTTCAATAAGCCTTCAACAGCACAGAAAAGATTCTTTACCCTTTTGATTGATACAGTTGTACAATGGCATTACTGAGACTTACGATAATCTGTATCTAATTTTTCCTCGTTTGTTGAAAACTTCTTACTTTCTGCATCTTCATTTTTTTTCTGTCTCCAAAAGAAAATGTTGAAGTTATAAATATTTTACATATTTTTCAGGATATACATGAGCAGCACATAGACTATTATGAAATTGTGTGTCATGAAAATTAAGAGGACAGCATGGAGATACCCAAAGAATGCATAAGCAGGAAGAGTACTAGAAGTTCTGCAGAAGCAGAGTAAAAAGGCAAAGAATTAGCTAGGGTACAGAAGGAAAAAAAGTGTCACAAGGGCCAGGCATAATTATTTATACAGAATTACACAGTAACTATTTAATTCCACTTTATACTTGAAACCTCAAAAGTCTACCAAAATGATATTTTTTTTTCCTAGCTATAATGCTCAACACATACTCAAATTTTAAACAGATGTCTCATTAAAATATGATGAAAACCAAGCATTGTCTCTGCCTGGGAACTATTTTCCCAGAATTACTTTGCAAAGAACAAACAGGTTGAATAGTAGTTATGGGGACTGATCCTGCCACCATCATGAGTATTTCTCACCTATCTTTATACTATGTAGTTTGCTACAGTGGTCACCATTTTGTAAATATTAACATTTTCACCCACAATCATTAGACTAGGAACACCACCAATGATGAAATCGTAAGGTTTATCATACCAATTTCAGACTATCATCTGCTTGGGATTTTTGGGAGAGGGAGAGGAAGAGGAGGAGGAGAAAAATTGTGGTAATTGATGGCACTTGCTGAAATCTGGTCTTTCAATATAATTTCAAAATTAAACAATTAAAAGACGCAGACTCTGAATTATATGCATGTGCAAGGAAACAATCAAGACTTCTTTTTAGGAATATAAATACATCTACTCTGAATTAAGATTGTTAGCATAACAAAGTATATAAACTACTGTAGACTGATAAGCAGAAATTGAATTGTGAGCACATTCCTCATTAACTAAGAAATCTGATCAGCAAGCAGCTCTCTATGAAGACATAATTTTAATATCCACAGACACCAATATTACAGAGTGCAACGACGCTTCAAAATGTAATGTCCCTACCTTCTTCTTCTTGTCTTTAAACTGCTTAATTAAAGTGATCAAATGTTCAGCTAGAAACATGAAATACAGGCCTCCAAGAGCTGTCAATCCCTTCCATGTGGAATCCAAATAAGCAGTTTCTTCTACACTTTGAAAGACAAGATGCTTGAACAAGGAGTCTTTATTTTGTTCAAGTAAAGGTTTCTCGTGGTGATGGCGATGATTTCCATGAGACTAAAGGATATTTGAAAGAAAAACATTCAAGTTCTACTAAATTCAGAACAAATTTTAGCACAACAAAAGAAAAAAGATGTGCTCTGCGGTAGGGATGTTAGATATTGGTTAGTTGAACAGTCAAGCAACAACATGAATTCCTATTGGTTACTTCACTATTCTATAGTCCCTAGGGGCGGGACGGCAAGCAGTGCACTCTGGCTCCACTCCCAGGGAGCACGCTGCAACCCTGTGCTGCTGCCTCTGCATCACAGGCAGTAGTGTGGGGTGTCAGGCAGAAACCAGTTTATAAGCCAGCCCCCTGCGCAAATACTGAGCTCTTGATACAAAGGCAGCAGTGAGGGGTTGCAGCAGCTGCTGTCCATGCTGGCCCAGGCTAAGACCCCTCTGCCGACAGGGGCTACTGCCATGAAGCAGCCTCTGTCCACAGTGGGCCTAGGCCCGCTGCGGGCAGAGGCTGCTTCGTTGCAGCCTCCCGCCACCCCCGCCTCTGATAGCAGCAGCAGTGGGGGAGGGGGAGAGAGCACAGCAGAGTTGGTGTTGGGGTCAGAGAGACAGGCTTTTAAGCCAGCTCTCCCCAGCAACAGCTCCTGCTCCCCCACACTGTTGCCTCTGATACAGAAGAAATCCCATGAGGTCCGGTTTCATACCTGACAAAGCATAGTCAACTCACATAAAACACTCTGGATCAAAAGCAATAGTGACAACAGTTAAAAGTGGATTGGAAAATGGGTTTAAACATTAAATTAGTATAACCTGTACTAAACTGGTATTAAGTATGAAAAATAAACATCTCTTGAACTTAAGGGTCACAGGAACACAAAAAGCAACTTTCAGCACGGTGCAAGGTAAAGCAAAGCATCCTGATAAAAGGTGTCAGCTGTTTTTAAATCATGACCTGCTTTTCCTGATCCATTTTCAGTGTGTGGGTTCTTACACCAGGATGTCAAAACAGTACAAGTTTTACTACCTTAATATATGCACTCAAGTTCCTATTAGGACATTGCCTGAAGGCTAGTCCTTAGCATCACTTCTATATAGGAAAAGAGTGCCATTGGAGATACTTATGAAGAAATGTATAGGAATTAGCAGCAGTGCTGCTTCCGTTGAGTCTTTTGAAAATTTTCAAGTTAAGATCCAATTAAGAGATTGTTTATGTAACATAAATATGGTTCAAACATCAAGACTACAGCTTTCAAAAGCCAATGTTCCATAAGGTATGCAACTGAAGAACATCTAGTAAAGCACACAGGATTTTTAGGATACAGTACTTGCAACCAAAGTGCAGATGCCAAGAGACAAATGCCTCCAGAATCTGAGAAACAGTTCAACAATATAATTAACTGAAGGGAATAAGGAAAAACCTACATAAAAGCAAGTACAAAAAAACAGGACTATGTAGCACTTTAAAGACTAACAAGATAGTTTATTAGGTGATGAGCTTTCGTGTACTCCGGGGCGAGAAAAGCTGCTCTGCATCTCCCTGATCTGCAGAGAGACGCGGAGCAAAGCCGCGGAGGGGCTTGGGCAGCCGGGCAGCCGGGCAGCCCAGGTGCGCCTGGGCTGCCCCGCAGCCCCAGCCCCTCCCCGGCTTTGCAAAGCTGCCGGGTCTTTTACCAGCTTGGATTGGTGGTCTGATATCAATCTCCATCATCAGTTTTCTATCTTTATTGGGTGTTATATTGATACCTCTGATGAATCGTGTATTTTTCAAGTTTCTTCTAAGTTTCCTTGTGTCACTGGCTGTTGGAACACTGAGCGGAGATGCTTTTTTACATCTTCTTCCACATGTAAGTATTTTACTTATATTAATCTTAACTTGAAAATGTTAGTGAAATATGGCTTTCTCAAAGATAAGGGCTTTAGGAAGCCTACCAATGTTAGGTTTGACAGCCTGCCAAACTACTGGTTTATTGACATGAATGAATACATAGATCATCTTTTCTTGTTATATCTTCAAGTATACTATGTAAAGTTGTAGCTGATATTTCTTCTCTGATCTAGGGTCTCCAGCAGTGTATACATTTGCACCATCATGTGTTGGGTTTGCTATGTTCTTTGACATTACACAGTCTCTTACACACAAGTTGTGCTTGTATATTGGCAATTTAGAATCTTTTCTGGCTTTCTTTTCACGGTCTTCTCCCACCTCCTAATTGATTTGTTTGTTTTCTTTTTAAGACTTAGAAATAGTTCCATTATTTCCAGTGGGAGGGGAGTGAGATAATTGCAGTACAGGCAGTCCCCGGGTTACGTACATGATAGGGACTGTAGGTTTGTTCTTAAGTTGAATCTGTATGTAAGTCGGAACTGGCGTCAGCCGCTGCTGAAACTGATCAGTTTCAACCGCGGCTGAATCTGGATGCCAGTTCTGACTTACATACAGATTCAACTTAAGAACAAACCTACAGTCCCTATCATGTACGTAACCCGGGGACTGCCTGTACTGCAATTATCTCACTCCCCTCCCACTGGAAATAATGGAACTATTTCTAAGTCTTAAAAAGAAAACAAACAAATCAATTAGGAGGTGGGAGAAGACCGTGAAAAGAAAGCCAGAAAAGATTCTAAATTGCCAATATACAAGCACAACTTGTGTGTAAGAGACTGTGTAATGTCAAAGAACATAGCAAACCCAACACATGATGGTGCAAATGTATACACTGCTGGAGACCCTAGATCAGAGAAGAAATATCAGCTACAACTTTACATAGTATACTTGAAGATATAACAAGAAAAGATGATCTATGTATTCATTCATGTCAATAAACCAGTAGTTTGGCAGGCTGTCAAACCTAACATTGGTAGGCTTCCTAAAGCCCTTATCTTTGAGAAAGCCATATTTCACTAACATTTTCAAGTTAAGATTAATATAAGTAAAATACTTACATGTGGAAGAAGATGTAAAAAAGCATCTCCGCTCAGTGTTCCAACAGCCAGTGACACAAGGAAACTTAGAAGAAACTTGAAAAATACACGATTCATCAGAGGTATCAATATAACACCCAATAAAGATAGAAAACTGATGATGGAGATTGATATCAGACCACCAATCCAAGCTGGTAAAAGAAATACAACATATAAGATGATGCTTGCTAAATGTTCCTTTCTTGAGCACACTGATTTAGAGGTTAATCATTAAGAAAATCACCCAGGACAAGGGTGTCTAGAAATAACTTTTTGTACAAGCATATAGGAGAGTTAAATATATAAGAAAATTTAGAATCTAAAATATTTAGATTAGCTATAAAAACAAATTTCAAATGTGTGTGATGGTTGGTAAGACTTATTTTTTTTTTAAAAAAAATTAAAGCCTACCTATTTGCAACGAATAGCTTTTCGGAGGGCTTTCAGCCTTTTCACTAGCTGCATGGATTATGCAGTGTTTGCCATCAATCTGGTTAAGAATTGATGGACAGAGATAGCTGAATTCTGCAGCAGTCAACAAGACTTGTGTGCTTATTCCATGAGACAGCATCAGCTTTGATACATTGAAGCACTGCAGAAAGAAAAATGTTTAAGATTAGTAAGAACACAACTATCACCACATCCTAGAAAAACTGCAAGAGCAGTCCAATACCAATTCAAAATAAAATAGCACCTCTGTAAAGTAATGAAAAACTTTAGTTAAGGTTGGTAACAAGCTGGTTTCAGCTAAATAAACTTCTACAAGTTTTGAAGTGTCAACACACAATAATTAAACCTGTCATTTCATACCATTTGTTGTTTCACTGCAATTTGTATAGATGGAAGCAAACTCTATTCACTACATTCTCACCTAAAAGACAGGTGCCATCATTAAAGACTTTGAAATCCAATCTCTTTCAAGGTTCTAGCCTGTCTTGTGTCTACAGGTTGTGTGCAACTTACTGAATAGGTTATTTCTAAACAGACGGACAATGCACAGCAGTACATTTCTTGCTTCATAGGTCCTCTAACCTGAGTCTCTGGACTGGAGGGGTAATTGGACAACATTGCCAGCTGGATGCAAGAGCTGTCTCATTCGTAACTGATGAAAGACAGCAATCATTCTGGGGAAAGAAGTCATTTTTGTGAGAGGCTTGCAGTACATCTTTTCAACCATGCCATTTCTACTGAAAGCCACATTCTGAACACGTTTCTTCCTGCAACTGTCTTTGTACTGCACTACTTTCAGTCTTTCAAAGTTTAGTAATTCTTGTGTAGTAGGGCTGCCAGTCCAATTGTTTAAGTTTTGTTTCTCCTCTGTTTGGGAAGAATGCAATATGCCTGAATACTAAATTCTGAACCTGTGATTGTGTGCGCACAAACCCTGAATTGTTTAAATTAGCTGCCTTGAGTGGGGTAAATAGACTTCAAGGAAGCCCTGCTGATTTGTAAAGCTCTAATGGTGAAGGGTTAGATGACAGGAAAAGCTCTCATTTACAGTGGTTTTATATAGTGACACCAGCCAGCTGTTCCATGAGCAAGCATCCTTTTCATCTTTTAAGAAAGCAAGAGAAAAGACATCTTTTATTTTCATTTCAGTTTCTCCCTATAGAACCTCTCCAGCCTCTTAAGATACAGAATCTAGTTTAAATTTAAAAAACAACAACACTGTTTTAATTTTATTTTAATAATCTGTGCACCAGTTCCAATGGAAGATAGTAGCGGTGTGAATATTTACATACCACTTTAACAAAAGCAACATATTTCAGAATTGGACCTATAATCAAAACCAAAAGCTTTCTTTTGGGGAAAAAAGCCTTATATTTTATGTAAGATGACACTGAACAGCTACTTTGTTCTTACTAAAGGAAAGTTTACATTACAGCGCTACATCAGCCCAGCTGTGCTGATGCAGATGAACTATGCTGATAGGAAAGCACTCTCCCATCAGCATAATTACTCGACCTCAGCAAGAAGCAGAAGCTATGTCAGCAGGAGACAGAGCCAGTGTAGAGCGCACAAAACTTATGTTGCCCAAGGGATGGGGGGCAGAGGATGGAGATCAACTTAGGTACTATTTTGGCAGTGTACGCCTGCCCTAAGAGGTAGAAGTTAGGATAGGAAGAAACTTAGTCTGCATTAAAATGAATGGAAAAAGCATTAAAGACATGGAAGTTCTTTAAAAAATTCATTACATTTAAGGCTTTAGGTTAATTTTGTTTTATTGTCAGAATAGCTTCAGGAATATGTCAGTGACTCTGTCCCTTGCATGCTTCAAGCCTCAGAGACCCCCATCATTCACCCAGATCATCTGCTTCTCCGGACCTCTGATCCATCCCACCCAAACATTACCTTCTCAAAACCATGCTCCAACTTGAAATTCCAAGGGTAGCAGCAAGGAATTTAAACGACAAGTGAATTGTGTTTCAGGGACAGAGCTGCAAGTATCTAAGAAAGCTCTATTGACAGAAATAAAGAATGCTTACAAAGCAGCTTTTCACCAGAGAATGAGAATGTTTTACAAAGGTGATTATTTTTTCCCCATTCTAAATGGGAAAAACAATGCAAGCAAGACTATTTGTCTGATCACAGGGCAGTAAGTCACTTGAAGAGTGATCAGAATTTAGGATCACCAAATTCAAGATGATGACGACAAGTTAATACCAGATCATCTTTACCTAAAGATGATTAGTAAACATACATAATAAAATCTGCATAAAATCTATTCTTAAGTTCCAAAGCCTCTGACTGATTTCTAAGTAGGATGAATTCCTTCCTGTCCTAGCCTTTTACTTCCAAAAGAAAAACGTAAGCCTACCTAGAGTTAAATTCAGCAACTTCCAAAGATTATTAAGTATTGGTTTTTAAATGTTTATTCATCTATCTTTTTCTACACCAGAAAATCTATTTTCCTATAATATGCATCAAAAACATTCACATACTTGTGTTAAGAAGTTAGTCTCCTAAAAAGAAAGAAATCATAGAGGGAAAAAAATCCATTACAACTACAGTGAACCCTCGTTTATCGCGGTAGATAGGTTCCAAACCCTACCGCGATAGATGAAAATCCGCGAAGTAGAAGTAGGATCCTCAAAGCCTCGGGGGAAGCCGGCGGGGGGGGCATCCCAGGCACGCCTGGGATGTATGCCCGGCGTACAAGACGACCCCCGATTTTTGGGGGATGTTTTTTAACATCAAAAGTCGTCTTGTATGCCGGAATATACGGTACCCTCTGCAGATTCCAGTTTCTGATCAACTGACATAATGTTCAATATTGCTGTATCAGATATAATAGATTTTCTATTATTAATCATACAGGTATTAGATATAACTATACAGAAGAGTGGCGGTGGCGAAAGCATTCAGGAGACCCACATTCAGTTTGTCTCCTCTTCAGGCTTCCTGTGTTGTGACCTGGAGCAAAGTCACTTTCTCGCTTTCTCTTTTTCTCTGTGTCACTTTTTCATCTGTAAAATGAAGATATTTCCGTGTAAAATGAAGATATTTCCCTATCTCACAGGCATATGGAGTACATAAGTACATTTTGGGGGGAGGGGGAGAAGTGAGGTACTAGGGCAATGGGAGTTATGTAAATATCTTAGATTAGCTAATAGAACTTGCGAAGACTTATGCCTATACTTAATGTTACATTCTGTGCGTCATCCCATTCATGTTAGTAAGACTACTTGCCATGTGTAGAATTAGGCAAACGCATGGGTCTCTTTAGAATGAGAATATAAGACTAAAGCCTGTCTTCCCCCCCCCCCCCCCCGCCTTATTCCAAAAAATAA